AAGTTCTATGCAAGTGGAACACCAGGTGGTGTTCTGGGTTTAAAAGGGACACTGAAATACACGTTTACCTTCACTTCCTTAATCACATTCATGCATTCAACATCTACTGAACATCTACCATGTGCCTCTTACTGGTAGTCCTAGGTAGGGTTCATGTAGTCACAAAAGTCCCTGCCCCTGTGGAGCTTACATTCTAATAGAGGGAGACTGAAATAGCAAAGCAACCTGGGAATGAGGTTATTCATTTTCAAAAATAAGATTCCTAATAATAATAAAATACATGTGAATTTGAAGGATATGAAAATGCTCAGACAGTATTTTAAAACAGCACTTGCCCAACATTCTAATACACATGTAGATACATTAATAAAAACACACCTTAAAGGAAACTGTAATCAAGACCAGTAAACAGGACAAAGATGTTGGTAATTTCATTTTCAATAACCTGTTAAGTCTCCTAGTCTTGGTAAAATGTGCAAGGTCTTAAACTAGTCATGTATTAAAATAAATATCAACCCCCAAGCCCTGATTATCATGCATGGTTTACTGCAACTGCCCAAGATAGTTTATTCCCATGTCAACACCCTTCTGATTTAAGGACTGACTTCTCTGCCCTTTATTATCTTAGTAACAACTCCTTTCCCAGTCTGAAACCTCATCAAACATCTAACCAAGTATGAGCTGGGCCATATGCTAAAATACAACCCAGCCAAAGGAAATTAAAAATGTTTTTCCAAGTTCAGTCCTTTAAAAAAAAAAAAAAGCAAAGTAAGATTATTAGATGAGCATTCTCCGTTTTGTTTAGACTTATGCATTAGCTTTATTTTTGTGAGCAAAAGCAATCATATAAACCAGTTATTCAAACAGTTCAACTAACAACTCTTAACCTGTAAAATGAACTGTGAAAATCTGAAGTTTATACATTAGTATCAATTCTCATAACAGGCACTGTTACATATGGATACATATTTTGTGCCCATCTGAACAGATAGTTTTGGACTTCTCTTCATGGGTATACCAAAACCCAAAGAAGAAAGTCATAGGAATTGAAAAAAAAAAATCAGTTGGGCAAGTTATGATATCTACTGTTTTGTATAGAGCAAAACTGGTTTACCTACAAAATGTAATACCACAGTACCAGCTGATTATCAGGCTCTTTACAAACCTCCTGTCACTTCACAAGAACAAAGCAGAGTCCAACAGGAGGTCTGCGGGCAAGCTAAGGCCAGCTGCAAGATCAACAACTGGACAGCTCACCACAGGAGATTATTTTTCAACACACAATTATCCTGGCTTTTCTCTAACAACTATCTAATAATAGCACTTCAGTTTTATTCATGTTTGGCAAACTTTCCAAGCTGACTTCAAGATATCAGATGTGGATCATTTTCCCAGAGGAGTATCTCAGAGAAACAAACAGTGGTTAGTCAATTTCAAAAAAAAAATTAGAAAGCTAAAATTTAGCATATAGAACTGAGTTGAAATGTTAGGGAAATCATTTATTGGACACATACCTTTTGTCAACTGTTATTCTAGTTGACAATCTTGTTTAAAAACCAAATAATGGATGTTATGTGGATTAACCTCTCTCTCTTTCCCCTGAACAAAATCCTAACTCAACAAAAGGGTCAATTACTATTAGCACTCCCTCTTCCCTTCTATGCCTAAGATTTTAAAAAACCAACAAACTATATAGTTCCTCTCGCCTCTGTTTCCTAGATATAAACTGAACATTTCATATTTAGGCAATTCTAAAACCAAAAGTCATCCTTGCCCCTAAAAGAGATATTTACAAAGTACCTTTGGAATTAATAAATTTCTAGCCTATCTGCACTAATTTTTAAAGTAGATCAAATTTAAGCAGACAGGAGCCTAGGTTTCCTATTAATATGGCATTTAAATACCACACCAATTAACCATAATTAGAAGTAACATTTTTTGAGTCATATAATTTAATAATTGAGTAGAGGCAATCTAATTCACAGTAACCTATATGAGCACATTAAGTAGGACATTCTATTACTACACACAGAATTCATATTTAACAAAACCAGCTCATCTGGACCACATAAGAGAAGGCTTATATAAGTCAGTAAAAGTGTAAAGCATTTTGCATCTTTCCAATTCCTACTTAAAATGCAAACTCAATGTTTATAATGTATTAAGTGAATGCTCAAATACTAACTTTTAATTAATAGGTATGATTTAATTTTGGGCATACCTGCTAAAAAATTGTCTAGATAATTCATTAAATTCTTCTTCTACACTTCCTATGTTCGTGGAGCACAGTCTTTATTTACTAACAGGTACTAACCAAAGACCAACTTAGACATGATAAAATAATGGTTTCCATTATTTGTGCTCCAAATTGAGATTTTACAATATTAATATTCAACAGAGCATACATTTTTAGAAGGATGTAAATTTTTACTGCCCCATATCCAGAAATTAAATTTCAGTTCAACAGAGCTAATGAACTTTTAACATTTATACAAAACACAGAAATAGATCCTAAACATATGTATACTCCATATACCTTACTATTAACTTAAAATTGATTATTTCATGGCAGTCAGGAAGAAATATTACATAATAAACGACAATAAGAAAAAGCCACTTATCATATAGACTAGTCTTTATTGAAAGACTTACTTCAACTGTGGTTTACAGCTTTGGCTTAAGTTGGCAAGTCATTTTAGCCTCTCTGCCAGCAGACATGAGAATCAAGTGGGAATGGCATGGGGAGAAATACTAGGAGAGAGATTAGGAGCAAAGAAGATGACAGTCAGAAACACATCACCAAAATAAATCTCAGAGTCATTGTGAAACAAGAAACATTTTCCTGCGTGCCAAAGAATCTCTGCTGCTGTTTGCAATGAACACGGAAAAGGCAACGACTCTTAGGCTTAACTGATGTGAGAGCATTGGCTTCACTGTGATAAAACAGTTGAGTCTGTTAGGTCGACAGTTTTATTTTAAGATGGTGCTTTTCATTTGGGTAAGCAGCTTTATGTTTTAAAAACCATTTAATATGAAATAATTTTCATTAACTGAACTGATCATAAAATCTTTTTCTCTTTCAGATTAAGACGAAGGACACTTCTGTCATGTTAACTATGGCAATATAACTAGTCTGGGTAGTTCTATTAAATCATAGAATATATAACCAAGAAACACTGTGGCTGTATTTAGCTGTGATGGCAATAAGCTTAATTTACTGGCAGACCAAAAAAAGGCAAACTCAGAATCTAATAGGCTTTCATCAATATACAAAAAAGTCTTTAGTTGTTCAAGTTTCACATACAGTCAATAAATCTTCAACTAGGAGGCATAATTGATATAATTTGAGTGTTCTCCTTATAAAATATAACTTTTCCATAACATCCCCCAAGACACTAACCATAAACAAAAGAAATGATACATTTTATAACAGAGGAGTATAACAGATGACTACTGTGGTTAAAACTAAAGTGCCATAAAAAATTTGGCCCAAAGACAAAGGACTTCAGACCCTGAGAATTTTCACGTTTAATACATTTGGCTATATTACTAAATGGGGGAAGAAGGAAAGTACTAAAATTATTGTGGTTAACAATTTATAAAACCATCATTACTTTAAAGCTAACTGTAAGACTTCAAAAGTTTAAAAAATAGTAATTTGCGGGTGCTGGCTGCATCGTACTACTGAACTGTAGAGGGTTTTCTCATTTTGTTGCCCAGGCCTCATTTCAAGTACACTGCCTAAACATTTGCACCCCCTAGCTGTCAAAATTCAAATACATAGGATTTTATCGCATATTCCTATTGATAAGAAATTTGAGGCAGACTTAATCCACACAGCCTGAAAAATACCTCAGAAGCAAACTTCAATCTTATACACCTACCCGACTGATTCATTTACAAACTGCACACATACACCTCAGCCTCTGTCCAGGCTTACCATCCCATGCACACTACCCACTAGAAAAACACAAATGTCACAACTGTGTGCACTACTTAAGCTGAATATCCAATTATAAACTGGTACATCAAACTGTCTAAATAAGATGTTTTATCAATCTTGTTAAAAAAATTATTGGGCAAAATATATCTAATTTTAAAAAACACCCCAATATTTTAAAAACACTTGTACTATACACCTTATAGGAACCTTGAAATAGGTTTACAAGGTTTTAATCAAGGTATTTACACACCAAGTGATGTAAAGGAAAAAAAAATCTAATTTCCAATGACATAGTAAAATGTACTAATGCATCAAAGATTTGTATGAAATTAAAATTAAGGCTTTTTCTGTATAGTAATTTGTGTAACTTTAATTTTACATAGTAGCCAACCTTGAAAATGTCAGTCTTAAACATTCCTATTAATCCACTGCATTCAATGCAGTGGAGGCGTGGTAAACGTTATTTCAAATAATTACATTGCTGCTACTTCTATGTTGAAGCATGCTTTTTAAACACTGTAGTTACTCAATATTTACAATGTCTGTCATTTAAACTTCATGTAAAAGCACAAGTATGACTGTCTGACTTTAATACAAACACCATACTTGGAATTTTCCCCCAAAATGAAATGTAATTTACTACAGTTTTAATAATCAACACTTCTTAAAGTTTTAAAAATATGTCAATGTGGACCACCGACATTCGCTCAAATAACTCAATGCTGTTCCTTATTTAAGTTGCAAAAATTCTTTATCAGTCTGGCTTCAGTTTCTTTAGGCATAAAGAAAGCAAATATTTCCTCCAAAGCGACTCCAAAATCATGCATTTCTTCTCAGTATCTCTTTTTCCTGCGGACTTCAAATGTGGTCCACCTCGGGGGTAGGGAAGGGGAGTATCAAGGTTCAGGATGAACTTATATGTGATTCCCAGTTTTCACGATTCTCCCTTTTTTGCTCTTTTAAAAACACAGTGAGTTAAAATACTGAACAGCAAGGTAAAAATGGAATAGTATCTAAGAATCAAAATGTATTACCCATTTCTCCTATTATATCAAAATTTGTAGTCAGAATTGTCTTTATTGACTTTATTTTAGTTTTTGTACACAAAGAAAAATCATGTTCATATCCATCATGAACAAAACTTAAAAAGGCAGAACTAGAAGACATGTGTCCTTCACCAAAGCAAAGCTGTGCTAAAGGTTCCAAACATTTCAATTTTTAAAATAAATATTTTCATTTTCCGATGTCTACTTTCATGTCTTCAGAGTGTCACAGGAAACTGAAGCTATCATGAATTACAATTTTGTTTAGAGTCCCAGCTCACTGTGTTTGGTAACTTGCCATACCATATCCAGCTTGGTTAGGAGGAGGTATTACAGGGGGAGGAGCTTGTCCCTGGGGAGGCTGAGCACCAAATCCGCCCATCCAAGCAGCAGAAGGTGGTTGACTTGGAAGAAAGAAAAACATCGTCAGCAAACATGAAGAAAAAATTATCTATACAGTTATACAAAACTCACAGCTGAGCCTAATTATAGATGAGAAATCAACATATCTACAACAGAATGAAGAAATGATACATATTCACGAATGCAGAATACATATTACAGTACCAGTCTCAAATTTTGTTAAGATGAGTATTACCTCAAAACTTATTTTTAAAAAATGACAAATGATTCAACACGTTATATTGAATTCAAATGATTCAACCCACCGTGGGTGTGTGTGTGTGTGTGTGTGTGTATCACAAAGTATTACCGATTTTTAAGAAATTAAAAAAACACAAGTTCCTGTCACAAACAGAAGGAAACAGTGAAGAAAATAAGGGTCTGAGCAAGCCTGGGGGAAATGTGCAAGGACCAACCCACTCTTATCAACCAAGGGAACAAAAGCAAGCTATTTTGCATCAGATAAATCTCTCAAGACTTCTCACGTGAGCCAACAGGCATAAATCATTAAATTTCTGTACATATCTAGATGAAGATCTTTCTCATGGAAAAACAAAGAAGTAGCTAAAACAGTGTATCAGAAATGTAAAGTAATTCTACCAACTGCCAGTAGAGACAATAGAGACATACCAAATGTTATTCCAACCTCCCTTTTCACCTAGATAATAAAAATTTTTAGCTTCATAAATTACTTTTCACAAGGTTTCTAAACTGCTTATAGTACCAAATAATTAAATAATTTAGAGTCTCCCTAGGAAAACACACTTCTTAATTGTTTTTGTCAGAACCGTATCTGTTTCTAAACTGGAAAAACCCAAACAACTTACTCTACTCCAAATCCTTGTTGATTCCATGGTTGCCCATATACTCCATAAGGCGGTACTTGCCACCCATTGGCCATATACTGTCCATACTGTTGTGGGTTTCCATAAACTTGGCTCCACTGGCCCCACTGACTATAGTCGACCTAGGAAAAAGCAAATTTCTATTTTAGGGAATAAGAAAGAAACACAGCATTTGAAGAAAGTCAGAGACAAGAAGAGAAAAACTAAGTAAGCACCCTTATGTGAATAGGACTCTGTTATTTATCATTGTCTAAGTTTATTGGGGTGGTGACACACCTGTGAAAAGAAAGTATTAAGATTCAGTTAATACCACAAAATAATCACTTTTGAAACAGCATTAATACAATCAAATGAAAGCAGCTATATGCTGTATTTTGTTCTTGTTTATTTTACATTTCTAAAGCTTTTATGTAGATCTGTAAGATGGAAACCTTAAAAGGTGCTGTGAAAAATCGAATTACCTGTTGGAAGTTTTTAGTCATATCAGGAGATTCTTTACCCCAATAGCATTTAACCACATGTCCTTCGATCGTAGTGCCATTCACTGAAACAATGGCATGGGCAGCACTTTCATGGGTTGAAAATCTAAGAGAAAGATAATAAGGTTTTTTGTCTTTTTTTTAAAGAAGTTATATGTAAGTACAGAAACATAGTAAAAAATAACTGTTAGTTGATATAATGTACATTTTGTAGATAAAGTTCTACCCTGCAAAGAAATACTAAAATAACAAAACTCTGATACCTGTGGGGATCACAAATATAACTGCAAGAAATGGATCAAACGGAAGACTCGTAATATTACAGGTAGAGTTTTACCTGACAAATGAATAGCCCTTCTCTGGAAAAACTCTTATTTCCATAATTTGTCCAAATGGTGAGAATGTCTGTCTCATAAGCTGATCTGAAAACAAAAACATACATATACAGTATCAAAGGCTCATGTTTATCATGACATTGACACTCAAGAGTGATGAAGCTCGGAAAGAAGGGGAGGAGAAAACCAAATACCATACTACCTGTTAACCCAGAAGCAATTCCACCACAGTACACAGTACAATTTTTTGGACTTGACTGGTTTACTACATCTTCAAATCTCAACTGCTTAGTGTTATCTATATGCAGAAAGAAAACAAAATGTTGATAGTTGCAGTGTTAGAAAATAATAGTATAAAGACATGCCTCACTGGGGGGAGAGAAGAGAATTTTTTCCTTGATGATATGATCTATAAAATTAGCTGGGTCACAGCTTTAAAATATATTTATATCAATGTCCAATTATTTTCAGACAATTAAATTTGAGATGAAATGTGTCCTGCAATTCTAATAAAGTTTAAATTTTAAGAAATCAAACCTATACTAATTACATGATTTTGTGAAGTATCCATACTTTAAAAATTTAAGTAGACGTATCTTACTTTCTTGTGTACTTTTAGGTGCAGGTGGTTTACGAGTGGCCCAGTTGGTTCTGATTTGACGACCACCCAACCACTGACCTCCCATATGCACAATTGCATTTTCTGCATCCTATGGAGACAAAAGGAAAAGAAAGAGTCATTACAAGCACAGAAAATAGTGGCATAAGACTCAGGATAAGATGAAATGAAATGCTGGCATTGATGAATCCAATAAATAAATTTACTAAGCATCCTATCCAAAACTGAGTATCACAAGAAAAAAGATTTAAACTTAAGTGATGCATATAAGCTATTTTAATTTATAGATTTCAAAATATAGGAGAGTACCATCAAGGGTAATTCATCATTAATTCAAATATGTAAGGAAAAATCACAATCCCACTAATTACCAAAAAAAAAAAAGAAAGCAGAAATACCAGTTGTTTCCAAATACCTTACTTTTATGTAAGTTCACGGAATATACAAAAACTCTGTAACATCAGTCTAAATCACCTACCTCTGAAAATCTACATTCTAGTAGCAACTGATTATAACTGACACAAGATTAAAAACTCATTTGTGACTATATGGATTTGCAATGAATCTAAGCAAAGAATATCACTCCTCCCCCTTTATCTTACTGCTCCAATAAAATGCAGGTAATTTAAGTTGCTGAAATTGTTCTGAAATGCTAATATCAAAGCCCACTTTACTATTTGATGTTACAGTCAATGCAAATGCTTAATATGGCACCTCTTTCTTATAGAATATATGCAAAAATCAAGATGATTGCTTACATGTTTATTTATATGATTTCCTATAGTCATTAATATCCTGACTATGAAAGTATGGATAATAATTAAAAAGTTAAAACTGAGATATTCATGGTTAAGACTAAACCTCCAAATTCTGTGATTTTTCCTAGGCTTAATCTTTATTCCTAACATATCTTACCTTCACCAATGCACAAATCCAACTTGAACATTCTTCCTTATAATCAGCCTATCTTTTCCCTACTTTTTATTTCCAAGTTTATAAAAAAAATGAAGTTTACTATTAATACACACAAAATTACATAAAAACTGTTTCTAGTTAACATCTAAGAACATTCAAGTTTCAGATTAATTAATGACTACATTTTGTATTAAATTTAAACTGAGTTGAAAGAACGTACCAGTTTGTTATAAAAAGATACAAAACCATAGCCTTTGGATTTTCCAGTTGCCATGTCTTTAACTACTCGGGCATCCCTGTGAAAAGAAGCACAGCTAAATGAGGGAAGTAAGAGTCATCCTCAAAATAAAAACTAAAAGGAACCACACACACTGTATTGTGAGCATTTTTTTTAAATAAAATTTCAGTTAGCCCTAATTAACTACAGCCATTCCTGAACTCTCCCTAACGCTTCTTTACCTGTTAGAAAAAAGCAGTAGGACAAAAACATGTAATAAACATGCAACCTAATCAAATAGCCTGTGCTTTCTAAACTAAATGCTCAAATTTGAAGATTAATAGGAACAATAGTTTCCTTTTCTAATATTCTATTGTCTAGTGTCCTCTAAGGTTTACTGATTCTATAAATTACTGTAACAATGCTAACTACTTTACCATGCAATCTCTAAATAGTTAAATGTCTTCTGCCTAGTGATACAAAATATATGAAATATTAAAAAATTGAAAAAGAGGAAAAAATAGGAATTAAAAAGGCATACATGGCCTGTTAACAGATTTCTTTATTTTTCTTGGTCAATTCTCTACCATCATTTTGGAGTTTGGGCAGCTGTAAATTTTGAAAAATTGACATTTTCAGAAATTTAAGAAAGGAGAATAAAAAACTAACAACAATGCTAAGCACACCAGTACGAAAACAACAAATTTACACAGAAATTTTAGTGAGTAAGTTAAAATGATTGGAAATATAGAACTCCACTGAATATAGAATGTTAAAATGTAAATACTAAAATATGTATATATAAATAATGTATAATAAGAATAAATAGAAATGAGAAAAAAATCTACAACTGAGTTCCAGTGTGCACAGTTCCTTGCAGTTAGCCTTCAAGATCCTGTCCATTCTTATGAGCAATTCTGCAAAATAACCAGAATGCTATTACTTTTAATTGTGACTTGGACTTTAGAAAAACTGCAGGTCTCAGGTATAAATAAAGATTGAAAAACAGCAACCTGTATTATTTTTATACTGATTTTTAAAACAGTACTACTTACCACATTTAGAGATTAAAAAGCAAAGCAAATATCAAAATAGAAAATTAAGAATTAAATCTTTCTTTCAAATACGTTAAATCTATATAGAACAACAAATTATATAGAGAAAAATATTGTTGTTCTCAGTTGAAACATATTCCTGTAAAGTAATACTAAAACATTTAATTTACATCTACAGGAAACATAAAATGAACGGATTTTAATCAGAAAGACAAATTGTAATAAACACTTTATAGAACTTGCAACCACTTTTAATTTTCCAATATATTTGATCAAGTAACATACAGTGAAATTTGAGCATAAATTCTGTTAGAACAACATTTGGGCCCCAACTAGCAGAATCAAGTACCACTAACAAAAAAACATCTACTAATTAATCTCATATTTATGGTTCAGACAATGAAACATTTTAACACTGTAATATTAGTACTACTTTTCCACTAAAATATCAAATCATTTATCATTACAATTAAACATTACATTTTCAACTTAACCACAATATACCCAAAGATTTACTACTCACACCCCCACTCATAAGTTCATCCTATGAAAGTTTTATACACAATATAAATCATATTCATTTTTGGTTAATCCATTATCTTTAACCACCAGACTTTGAAAACATTTGACAATAAATTGTACTTTATAAGAGGTTTTACCACCCAAACATGTGCTTCAAAGATAACAAACAGAATCACTCAAAATTTTTTAACATATTATACACAAGATCAAATGAAAACAAGACCCCAAAACACTGAAATGACATTAACATTTTCAACAACACCTACTAATAAAAATTAAAAAAAACAAACAAAAAAAATCACACTAGGGAAAGAAAATCTTAATTCTGATACAAGTTAATCATATGCAATTTTGCCTACTGCTACTGAGTAGAGTATTGATTATGATACTTACGATATTTTACCAAAGGGGGCAAATGCTGATTTGATATCTTCTGTTGTAATTTCTGGACTCAAATCCCCAACAAACACATGGAAGTGATCTGAAATCAAAGCATTTGGTAATCAAATACTTAAGAAGTCAGGTACTAAGCCTTTTTTAGGCAACACTAAAGGAAGAAAAAACCCTATTTAATAGCTGGTATTGCTGCCAGGATAATTTCAGAATGCTTCCACAGTAAAATGCAGCAGGAGTACTTACTGGAAGTATCTTTTTTCTGGCTACTTGGTGTTGTTGCCCAGTTTACTTTGACCTCCTAAAAATAAAGATTATATTTAATACAATTATTAGGCATGCCACTGTGAATCCTAACACTTACCATTTATTAAATCACTTATCAAGCAGGATAGTATTTGTAAAAACGCTAGGCTGAATAAAGCAAAACCATCACTCGGCAGAGCTGAGTATTTGTTTGAAAACTTGCTAAGAAAGAATTTAAACTAATTTGACATGCAAATATATATACTCGTAAGGTACCATCATTTTATCATCTTACCTTTCCCAAAATTTTTCTCCCATTCATAGCAGCTAATGCAGCAGCTGCATCTCTGTGTTCATAAAATTCCACAAAGCAATATGGGTCATTGCTTGTATGCTGCAAAACAGAAAATCCAACAGAAGAGTTGACCCTTCTGCTATCGGGTTGCTGAGAAGAAAATCCAGGAAAAAACATTACTGATAGCTAGGAATATACAAGGTGAGACTGCATACGTTTACGAAAGCCTAACACTTTAAAAATATGATTTACAGCTATACCTGACTTTGCAACTCAGAATACTCAAACAGAACTATCAAAGCAGTAGAGACTATCAGTATCATATCAAAAGTGAATTCTGATGATGGTAAATATAAAAGAGAAGTCTATATTAAACCAAACAAAACCTCAAGTTCAGATTTGAGAGATAAGGACCACTCCTTACCACTGTTCTTCTCTCCCACCATTATTTTCAAAAGGATGAATTCTATTTATGCATCATAATCCTTCATAAAATGTATCCCATGACTATAAAAAATACAGAAATGAACCAACTTTACAAACTTTACTCCTGATTGAAGCTAGGATTAGTACTATATTTGATGAGATGAGAGTTGGTATTTATTTTCTGGATAAGGAAGGAATGAAAATGAAAAGGGAAAAATTTCAGATTTATAACCAGCTATTGAAACGAATTCCATCTTACAAAATACCGTAATGTACTATTCTATGTATTTTGTATTACCAGAAAAATATACAGTGATCAAGAAAAGAGTTTCTAAGTGTGTCTGAATAAATAAGTGTGTCTAGGACAGAGCTAGAATTTTATGTAACAAAAAATACCAATGTAAGATCTTTATTAAATACATTCTACAACATTATGCTTGACAGTAGTTGTCAGATATATTTATAAAGATGGTGAGAAAGTAGTACTACCTCAGTTACAGCAACTTAATCACCCAACAACAAAAAATGGAAATGAATTTTAACAAATTACAACCTATGCTGAAAGAGCTACACAACTGTACAAATGTATTTTCTATATAAATTTAAAAACATTCATCACTATTCAATGTAAAATGCCCTAAAAAATAATATTTAAAATGTGCAATTCCAGTTAGACTTACAAGGGATAAAAATACCAGATAAACTAAAGATCTTTTCAACAACCACTGTTTTTCATTCCAGGAAACTTTTAGAAGAAAAATCCAAAATAAGACGTCTAAAAGAATAGTGGCGAAGCAACCAGAAGGCATTTCCTTGAGGGGAAAAAAAGTGTGATCATTAATACTGACAAAACTATGGACTCTAATACAAAATCCTATTGTTGTAGCCACGTGAACACTGTTCTTAATAGGTAGAGAAAGGAAACAGAGGAAAAGACTCCGAACAAAAATATGCACTTAAATTCCTCTTGCAAAAGTTTTAACATTTACCAGTAGCATTCATTGAAGAAAGAATTAAAGGCAAATAATAAGCTAAAAATGTGCTAGTCAATTTTCCCTTTTACTCCTACCTTTTCTGCCCCTAAGGAAAACAACGGTAACTGTAACAAAACAGTGGATTCACATGACGACGGTCAACATGCATACTAGAGCATGCCAACCTCAAGCTTACCTAAGACGTAGACCAAACCCCAATGTGCACACATACATGTGTATGCACATACACACACACACATGCACACACTGAATTTCATCTTATTTTATTTAGGACTCCCATCCCAACTTTCAAGAGGTATCAAAATATTTTTAACTTTTGCCTTAAAATCGATAATATGCATTTATAGTGTATCAGCAAAACTAGAGTCTAAGAAAAATAGTATCTAAACAATCATAAAACTAAGGAGAAAAAAGGATTTTTCATACTGAAATTTATGAAAGGAAAATAAATGGCTAGTCTGTACTAGAGGTTCATGCCCTTTGGAAGGTTCCCACTTACACCACAATCAAGTGACACTTCAAAAATCAACTGTGTCCTTACCTTAGTGTTGTCATTAATTTTTCTTGGATGGCATAAATGCCAAGACAGAAAAATATGAGATTTTACAACTTTCACAAGTTCAAATGTAGGAGTTACATAGAATATGAAAAAATTACAAAAATTTCTTACAAATTCCTCTACCCCTCAAATGGCTCACAGTGCGCAAGAGTTTTTTTAAAATATGCTAAAACAAATCTATCAAACGTTTCTTAATTTTCTAGTGACTCTTTCCATGTTCTCACTTTCCATTCTTTCCTAAACCCAGTCTAGTCGGCTTCCAACCCAACCAGGTCACAACTTTGTGTTGAGCTCACTACCTCTCTGCCACCTCTGTGATCCCTTTTCTGTCCTCATCTTAACTTTCAAGCATAATTCAACAGCTGACACCTCTCCTCCTCTAAATATTCTCCTTTAGATCCCACCATACTCTCATTTTCTGGTTTCCTCACTGAAGGATTTTTCAGAAGGCAGTCCCTGACCCTTAACTCAAACTCTAAACGTCACTCTAAGTGTTGAGATGCTCCACGGCTCCTACCGAGGCCCCTCCACTCTTCTCGGTAGGCACTCTCTCTAGATCCAGGAACTAGAGCTCACCTAGTCACAGGGCTTCAAACACCACCGCCAGCTGGTATCATCAGCACCGGTCTCTCTGGAGTTCGGAGCTCATTTATCCAGCTGCCTACATATAATACCCGTTTAGCTGTCTAATGTGCCTTTTAAATAAACATCACCTAAATAGAACTCCTTATTCCCATCACGCCTCAAGTCCATCCTGTGTTCCCTGTCTGTCATGTCCATTTTAAGAAATAAATAGCATTACCATCCACACAATTGCAAACAAGAATCTTAGGGTCCTTCCTGATGTCTTTCTTTCCCTTATGTCCCACAGCAAATCTAGTCTTACTGATTCCACCTCCAAAATATATCCAAAATGTATCTACCTCTATTTCCATGGCTACCACTCCAAAGAACAAGTCCCCATGATCTCTTATCTAGACTAGTGAAATAATCCCAGGTATTTTCCCTCCTTTCACTCTTGCTTCCTACAATACATTCTCCCCAACATTCTCCAAATAAAGTAATCACAAAATGCCAATCAGAGTACCTCATCACCCTGCTTAAAACCCCACTGCAACCAGAGTAAAATACAAAGTCTTCTCATGGCCCATACTGTCCTATACAATAATGAACCCTGCCTACCTCTTTAGATTCATTTCCCACCACTCTCTTCTACTCACTAGGCCCCTGCCATCCTGTTCTTTGGTGCCACACACACACTAACTCATTACCAACTTAAGGCCTTTGTATTTGCTGTTCCCTCTACCTCCAGCTCTTAATGTAGACGGCACCATCTTGTTATTCCTGTCTCAGCTCAGAGATGCTACATCTTCCCTTTCCAATTAGCATATATAGCACCAACCCTCCAATCATCACCACAGAACTACTTTGTTCTTTCCATAGCTCTTACCCCTATCTGGAAGTATTCTGTTTCCTTATTTACTAACAATACTCTCACTAGTATGTAATCTCATAGAGTCTCCTTTGTCTAGCTCTCCATTATAGCCTCAGTGCTTTGAATAGTGTTTACCACAAAATGTTTGATTAACGAAAGAATGAATGAATAAGCAAAGAAAGGAAGGAAAAGAGAGGTAATACACCAGAACAAAATGGTTATCATTAGTTAGGAAAGAAGATAAAAAAAGCCAATTTGCTTTACAGGCTTCTAACAGTGCCCCTCAGTCGCAGGATGTAAAACAAACTCCCTGGCGCAGTTTCTTGTCACAGCCGAACACTCCTGCCTCATCTCCTGGCATCTCTTATGATTAATCCCATTTGAAACTCCAACCATGCCAGTTTCTGTCTTTCTCTCTTTCTTCACAAGCACTCCCACTCTGTCTACCAGGCTGGATCCACATTCTTCTCCCTGTACCTGGAATCCCTTCTTCCCCAAATTCCTTTCTAGTCTCTGTATTATTATCCTTTCAGTTTCAACCTAGACACTAATTCCTCCAAGAAGCCTCCCTTGAACCAAGACTGGGCCTGTGCTCCAACAGCACCTGAAGTCATCTGCTTCCACAGCATTTATTATCCTATATCACTAGTGCCTGTTAACTCCTGTCTCCTCATTAGACTGACAACTTCTGTGGGGCTAAGAACTGTCTTATTCACCATTGTACCCCCAGCACTTATCATAGTAAATAGTCCAAAAAAAACAAAAAAAAAAAACCAAAAAACCCCAAAAATGTCAACAAGTAAGCAAACAAAAAGGAAAAAGAGAACAAACTGAATATGAGTCACTGGGCAATGCTACATAGCCTTAGCTAGTAAAGTATAAAAAGTAAGTTTTCTTAGGGAAAAAAGGGAAAACAAAATTACTAACCTAACAATTTAAATTCCCATCTACATAAAGCTGCTCAGTCATTAGCATTTACTAAACATGCACAAAATGCATGGTGCTACACTATGTACTTCAGAATCTGATTTTTTTTTAACACCAATTCCTGTAAGTGCATGCTATCTGAATCCATAACATTCTTACTGCAATTGTATGAAATACCATCTAGTTTTTCAACAGTTAGAGATAAACATTTAACAACCTTCTACAAGCAGAATCACTTGCTAACTACATCATGAAGAATGACCATTTGAGAATACAGCACAGGAACTCTGTCCTCTCAAATCATCTCCATTGCTAAACCTAGCTTGAAGCCAAATCAGTCAACACAACAAACATGCATCTCTCCATCAGAATAACTTGAGGCTTAAAATATTTAAAAATGATACTAATCAACTCATATATCTCAAAATGTTAACATCATGCTGTTAGCACGTGGAACTGCAAGATCTTACCTCTGTTATCATTTTACAGCTTTTACAAGGTCCAATCTGACTGAATAACTGTAGTATAAGGACTTCTGTCACATCTCTGGAGAGGTTACCTACATATCTGTTCAAGAAGGAAAAAAAAAAACATTATCAGCAACTTTCCTTCAGCTGTTAAACTCTAACGTGTTATCACTTAAATCACCATTTATCCTAATTTAACTTCCTCTGTCTTTAATAACATTTTTCCAATTAAGCCTAAAACTATGAAAGTAAGACTAACCCCTATTTGGGAAAAAGCAACTGTTGTTAGGTCACTGAAGTACCACTCCAAAAGGCTTTATAAAGAACAAATAAATGTGACCTTGCATACCCCAAAAGCATATTATTCTGTACCCTATATATAATTTTCTATGTAAAATAATAAACAATATTTGTTAGAATAAACCTAATAAAAACTTAAAAAGCAGTCGCAAGATTAACGGCAATTCCTCGACAATTCAGTATAATGTACACACACAGTACCACAAATATTTATCTACTAAAACACCTGATCATAAAGGAGCATTAGACACAAGGGGATTTTATCTTAGCACCGCACCACCGGCCTCCAAACAAAGCGATTACATGGACAAAGAACAGAATTAGAGTAAAGTTATAGCAAAACACACCGAAATTGGAGAGTTTTGTCTTGTCTTACTAAATAAGATTGTTACCAATGATTCACCTTCACTGTTTTGTTTTAGGAGAGCAGGGTAAAAGAAAAAATTTCCTAGTCTAAAATGCACCAGAATCAACAAGATTCATCTTTATGAAGACAACAAAACAAATATAAAGATTTCTTTAGAAATTCAGAGAAAATTTAAGACAAATCCAGGTATTCTTTTGACTATACATATTTAAAGATTTTGGATTGTTTAAAATTACAAACTGAATACATGTATTTTGTATAAGAAATTTAAAATACAAATTCAAAAGAAAACACCATCACCCAGGTTTCTCTTGTACCATGGATTTATCTTAATTTAGCTTAATAAACTGCCGAACTTCTCCATCTTTCTGGTACTCGGTGTAGAATTCCTAAAACTTGCATCTGCTAGGAACAACCCCATAAACCAAACAACACTTGTAAAATTTAACATCATTTCTTCTGAAAAGTAAAAACACGTTAGGTTTTATTTTCCTAACTATAATATGTAACATCTGGAAACTGAGTGCTGAGAACAAAATTAGGCTTGCCTCTATGGTTACCATATTAAATACATAACTGATCTAAGATGGAACACTGTAAAAGGAAAAATACACTGAGAAAGGTATGGCTAAGTGTTTAAAAAAATTATCTGATTGAGAATGAGTAGCATTTTTCCAGTTCAGCTAAAATTTCATTGCAGTGAGAACTAATAACTTTAATTCACAGGCTCTAAAACTGAAACACAAGTCCAACATTACTAAGACTAAACCAGTGACAAACTGGGTTAGGTCCATTCTGTTGTCATCTTGTCTTTACAACTAACGTAAAGCAGACCCACCCGTTGGTAGGCCATGTATTGACATATGCTTTTTCCAGCAGTAGTGAAAGATTACAGCATAATGAGGTAGCCAGACAACTGCCTATCCTTTTTTAACTTACAGGCGTTTATAAGTCTGTATGCACAGCAAATCTATCTATAAAGAAAACCAACAAGTGATCCTGGTATCCTAAATGTTATATTCATCTAAACTGAAGTGCTCACTTCTAAGAGAATAGAAGAGGAATGGATAAAAATAATTTTCACATATTGAAGCTAACCAGTAAGAAAGTTAAAGTAGAATTATCATTAATATAACAAATTTTAAATGATTTAAATAGTTTTAAATTTGTATTACTGCTTAAGCATCAATTTCTTCAGGAAAAACTGCATGGGCATTAATTACTTTCCATACCTCCAACAGCCATAATTAGAGCTGTTACTACTTAATAGAATTTTTATTCTAAGTCAGCCTATTTCCAATCAGTTACAGATTTAGAAGGCTTTCTAGAGGCCTATTTAGATATATTAATTTACATTTCAAGCATTGATACTAAAGAGCAAATGTTAATCCAAGTTTAGAATGTCATCCAATACTTACAGAAAAATCCAGTTTTAAGGTTTCCTATTTTTCAAATATCTCCACTTAAAGTTCAGAGGCAAAGCAGCAAACTAAATTCCAAAAAGTAATGTTAAAAAGCCCTTCCATAACATGTAAAACATCTTAATTTACCAGGACAAAAATGTTATCATTCACTGTATAACTCCACCCATTATACCCAAATCTCAGGTTGCCCTTTCCTTTACTGAGTCTGTAGTTCATTTATTTACATATTTCTTCATCTATTAATACGTAACAGATAAACATTTTACAGCCCTTAAAATAATGCCGTATATAGCTTAAGTACTTTTACATTATAAAATTATCTACAAAATAAATACTAACAAAAATATTTGAGACAAATGTTGAACACTCAACTTGGTAAGAACATCATCTCTTGGTAGTATACTGAAATGTTGTTTTTTTCTGAATTATAGTTTCTATACTTCACTTTCTGCTCTGGTTATGAACAGTCAACATATATCATTGCTCCATGTTTAAGTATAAAATTTCTACCTGAAGACACATACAAAATAACAAGAAGACAAATGGCTCAAAATCTTGTATTGAGAGATCAATTCAAAGAATAAACACTTGGGGAATTCTAAAACAATTTTTAACTCCAGACTTAAAAAAAAGGCATACCTTAGGTCTATTTTGTCTTCTAAGAACAGGAACTGTAGGAACTAAAGCATTAAATACAGAAAATGATGTCTTTATCCCAACATCAGGCTTAAAACCCAATCTGAGAACTAGAAATTGGCAGTTTCACAGTAGGCAAAAGGTCGGTCACATTGCCGAACTGCTTCCCATGTCCAACTGTGCAGACTTTCAAGTTGGGAACATCAAGCCTTCCAGAAGACTCATCCCACTTTTCAGCTCTGACTGTGCTCTCGGATGAGGGGCCCCACCAAGGCTGAAATTACCACCACTTTTACACAAGATACCATAGATAAATTTCTGTAAAAGTAACATTTTTGCTTTTGTTCTTGGTAAGTTCCTATGTAAGAAGATATTCTGCAACACTTCTCAACAGGCCTCTAATGAACGGACCAATTTGTCAATATTTCATTTTAGGAAGAAACTGAGTGGAGGAAAGGTGCAGGAGGTACACGTGAACAAACTACATAAGGGATATTGACACACATATTTTAAAGAAACAGAGACTGTGATTAAATTGAATGAGGGGCTTGATTACACACACAATATAGCCAAATCCACGTTGAGCCAGTCAATTTTATAACGATTTAATAGTATTTTCTTCAGCTATAGCTCTTAAATGTGCAGATTATATTCAAAATTACTGATTTACATCCTCTACTTGAGTATCAGGAAAAAAGAACAGCCTTAAAGGATGGCATTGCGTAACATGGTAAAATCCCAGATCCGAAATTCCTCCTCATATTGGCACATCAATAGATTAAGAAAACAAAACTAGACTACAATAGAACCCCACTATAGTTTAGTGTTGTATCATAGACCAGCTATATCATGGATCAAATCACTGTACTCAAAACTACCCACAACACAAATCTGAAATGTGAGTCCTACAAATCAGGCAGTCCATTTGCAGCACTAGTAATACAACAGCATGATCTCGTTTGTTTTTTTAGACCACAAGTTACTCAATGTTTATTACCTCAAAATAAATGTCAAATGAGAACAAAGAACATCAGAAAACAGACCTTTAAACAACTGTATGACAAACTTGAGGCTCAACATCAAACAAATTCTATGCCACTTTAAATACCATTAAATAAATAAGTAATACTGTAGGTAATGAATATTTAAAAACCTACCTAGGCTACAAACACCATACTGTTTTCTGATGACAGAACCATATGTCTTAGCTTGTGTGTGTCTGCAGGAAAAAAACCTCACTAGTAACACACAGGCATTTTAAGGAAACAGTTTGAGATAAGCTTTTTAAGAGTACATTCTTTTAAAACATACTAGCCACTTGAAAGCCTAATCCATACATCACAATGTAAAATAAAAGGATCTCCATAAACAAAACAAAACCCTAGTAACTATCTATCAACCTCTAGTCATGTTCAAAGTTTTCATCATGTTACTTGTATCTAAAAGAACCCCTTGAGGAGAAATGTAAAATGAATACTAAAAAAAAAAGAAAAAAATTACTATGCATTATTAAAATCTGACCCAAAAAAATCTCAATGGTAAAACATTTGCTTTTATCTCAAAATTTTACATTTGAAGATTTAAAAATAATACATAAAAATCAACAGACCGAACCATGTACAACAGTTATGTCTGCCTATAATTTCAAATCAATCAGGACGTTTTAAAAAAAGGACTTAATACTGATTTAATGAATAGAAGTAAAATCACTGTAAAATATTTGAGTACCTCTTATGTTCCAGGCAGTGAACTAAGTGCTGCAGGGGGTAAGACCTAGGAAGATGTAGCAGTTCTTGTCTACAAAAAAAGAAGAAAAAAAAAAAAACCCTTCCCATGGAGAAGAGCGGGAGAAGGGAAAAGGAAGACAGAATAATAAACATGTACTGACATACAGGTACAAGCTCAAGACGTTTCTTTACTCATATGTATATATGTCGTATTTCTAGACAACTACAACCATAGACGACTTAAGTGTACTTCGGAGAAAAGAATAGGAGATTGGAGAAAGCAGAGGCAAGAAATAAATGACAACGTTAGTTTTATTAGTCTACTGGAGAAGGTCTAAGTCTGATGGAGATGAAGACAGGGCAGATGCAAAGACAGTTAAATGAATTGAAGGTACTAGCACAGCAAAACCATGAATTCCTCTTCATAAAGAATAAATAAATACACATAATTAGAAATGTGCCATGAGAATGTACCAATATTCAGTACCTGTACGATGCAGCGATGATTTCAGATTTTTAGATACAATGTAACTTACACCCTTGTTAAATACACGGTAGCTAGGCGCTAAAGCTAAATCCAGCTTTCCCAGATGCTCCCATCGAAGTACACATCGCCAACTAAACTACCAAGCCTTCGCTTCAACATATGTTAAAAGGACAAATTTCAAGATTGTCCCAATTCTCTCTTCTGGGAGAAGAAGGCAGAAGAAACAGAAGACAGCACGAACATAAATAGAAAAGTTCTACTAAACAGGCTTTTCATTCAAGTATTGATGTGCTTACGTTGGCCTCAAATTGTCAAAACTGAATGGCAAATATTTTAGCGAGGCAGAGTAATAGGTATAAAAAGAATGCAAGACCCCCCTAAGAAACAAAAGTAAAAAACCAAAGCTGTATCAATATTAAGCGGATATCTATCTTCCTTAAGAGCGGACTTTCTTCGGTAATAGAGACGAGAAGCTGGGCAAGCTTCCTCAGTACCGTACGTACCATCCACCTTCATCTATTCCCCAAAAAGTAATTTCCCCATCAGACAGCACAGCCAAGTGAACTTCGATCACAACACCGGGCAGAGGCAAGAGAAAACAAAGCCATCTGACTCCTTGTACTCGAGGCAGGCGTGTTGAGCTGCGAGAGGCCAGAAAAACCCAAGGTGCCCAACTTAAACATTTAATTATAAATTACTCAGACTTTTTTAAATGCAGGGAAAAGAAAGGAGTGCCACACAGTCAGGAAAGGAATGCAAATGCTGAGTCATCACTCTTCTTTAGGAAACGAAGGAAATTCGAAAAAGCGGTTCGAAGATGAAATTCATTCATTAGATTGGGCTTCAGGTAAAAAGCAAGGGCAGGGTAGAAGAAAACGTGTTCAAAAGACACACACCGAATAGCGGACAGAGACATCACTTCATCCAACCCTGAAGGTCTCGACGCACGGAATAGGAGGAGGTAACACCAAAAGAGCGAAAACAGTTTAACAACTGGTTGTCAGTTTGGTGTAGGTAGCGCTCCAAGTAAACTTCGTTATCCAAGAAGGGAAAGATGCTCTAGCGGCAAGAGGCATCCCTTTAGCACTTCAAAAGCAGCGGGCGCGCGCCAAGTGTCTCTGACAGCGTGGGCGGGGGCACGTGGGGCAGAAAGAGAGCAGGGGCTTGAATGGTGGAACAGTGTCCGGCTTCCTCGGAGAGCTCGGCTTGGGGGAAGAGCAGGGAGTGACTGGGGCTGGGGAAGTGGAGGGCGTGGGTGCTAATTTCTCGGGGCCCGCAGGGGATGCGGCTGCAGTCCCACCCCCAAGGCCACCCCTATCAGGCCCTGCCCCCGTGGGGACCGGCAGCTCCCGGCCCGGCCCAGGGCCCCTAAAGCAGAGAGAGCGCTCGAGCTCTCCCGGGCCTGACAGCCTCCGCCGAGCAGAAACCGGCCTAGGAAGGGTATGCAAAGAAGGGCGCGAGAAGAAGGTCGAAACAAGCCCCAGACCCCAGGGAGTGACTGTGTTTGGGGGAAGGGAGAGCCTCCTAACCGAGGAAAAAGGGACAGATGAGGAATGCACTTTCCGTCCGCGCCACCCCGGCCAGGGAGCCGCCGGGAGTCCCAGTCCCGGTCCCGCTCGCCCGCTCCCTCCCTCAGCGTCCCGGGGTGCCCGGGCCTCTCGGCGCCTGGCACCCTCCGTCTCGGGTACTCACAGAGTTCGGGGCTGTCCGTCGTCTTCCATCATGGTGGGTGCGACGGAGCGATCCCGGGACAAGGGGGAGGGCAGGGCTGGGGAGGGGAGGGGGCGGGGAGGAAAGGGGGGGGGCTCCGGGCACCGGCTGGGGACAGAGGAAAAGGTACCGAACCCTGCTCTCGGGCTCTCTCCCCCCAGCCCGCTCCGGACACTGCGCTCCAACCAGGAGGAGCGAGAGGAGGAGGAGGATGAACAAAATGGCCACCGCCACCAGCCAGGCAGGAAACGGGAAGAGCGCAGGCGCGGCCCGCCAGGTCACCGCTCTGGCCAGCGGCGACGGCCTGTGAAGGGGATAACTGAGAGGGGTGGGGGGAGAATAGGCCGCTAAGGAAGCCCTGCGCCTGGTCACGGCGGATCACGTCGTCGCTGTGCCCCTGCTGCCGACCCAAGCCCAGCCAGAACAAGAAGAGGTCGAATGAAAAGAGAACCGCTGTGAAGCTGAAGTCTCTGGGAATTGTGGTCCTGGAAATGAGAGAGGAAATCACTTCACCAGAGGGCTTCTGGGAACTGTAGTTCGGAGGTGACGGCCGGCACCCGCGCAGTGCTGGACCGCGAAAAAGAGACTTTTGGGTAGTGTAGTTGTACGTGGGGACGTGCGGCGACCAGGAAGTCAAAATGCTGGGAGGGGAGGGGGAAAGGTGAAAAGCGACGTTAAAAGGCGGGGAAACGGGGTGTGGAACACGCTGTCGGGGACGTAAACTACAGGTCCCAGAGTGCCTCGCGCTGGGGGCTGTCCTGGGACTGCTCCAGGCATTTTAATGCTCTTCAGTTGGCTTAGCCTGAGCGGCAGCTCCGCCTCTATCCACGCTGAGAGCGGTTTCTTTGACTGCGGCTGAAGCAGTGCTCTGCCTCCGCGTGGTGTCCGAACCCGCAGGGCCTTTACTGCCCTCCTCTGTTAATCAGAACGGCTGGCCTGTGGTCATCAGCCGCCCAACCCGCGCGACGGGTCGGAGGTGCTGAGACGAACTTAGAGGGCGGGCTGAGCTGGTCTGTGCTCTTGCCAGGGCCCCTCAGGCTTCCTTCCCAAGGGCTAGCCATCCTTTGGGCGCGTTTTCCCGCAGATAGGTATTCCTAGCCTATATATAGGCTCCTTGTAGATTGCTTTACAAGTTTCAAAGGTTTCCCCAATCCATTATGTCGTCGGATAAGGGAGTCAGAAGAACAGTCCTCCGTTAAAATGACTCACTGAGTGTATGTAAGGTGCGGTGATAATGCCCTTCTGCCTCCCTATTTAATATTAGAGTGAAAAAAAATCTTTGAGCAGATGTGTGCAGGGACATAAGGTTGTGTTTACAGACATCCCGTCATGTGGATTGAATGAAGCCTTGCTTGACGATGGGGAAAGCCATGTTCAAACTGGCTTCATACCCAGGAAAATATTTTCACCCAACTGTTGTTTGGCAGCTGCATCTGGGGAAGCCTCTCTTGGCGCACTAGGTGAAACCTCACCCTGCATGGGGGAGGGTTCTTGACTGTGATGAAGAAAGAATTCTGGAACAGGTCAGGTCAGAGGAGCGTAAGTGAGGAAGGAATTCATTAAAGCAAGAGTAGCAGCAGCAAATGGCAGCAGCCACGCAGGCAGCAGAGAGCAGGGAAGAACAGAGGGAGGAAAGCTCACTCACTGAACTGCACAGCATAGGGCAAATCCCTTGCCAACTCCTGAAGCCAGGGTTACCTGGCGTCCAGTGCCTGCTTGAATCTGCACTGTGTGGGAACTAAGCCTTTACTGTGCCAGGATTTGGGGGAGCAGCAGAGCACTGGATGGAGTGAGATTATGTTCTGAGAAGTTCCCAAAGGGGGTTTTCGGGCAGGTGACTAAAGAGCATGATCTTACTTAAAGCTGCTGTCCTGTCTGGGTCACCCAAGTGAAGGGAAGTTGCAAGTCTGAATCAGAGATCTCAGTAGCCTTTCCCTGCTTGTCTGAAGTAGGACAGAGAGAGTGAAGACTTGTGCTTAAATCTAGAAAATTGAATGAAATAGCAAAGTAACAAAGACACTTACCACTGGAAGAGCTCAGAGACAACACAATAAGTTGAGTAGCAAGACGTATTTATTTAAGGCATATTACACACTTGAGGGAAGGGGAGTGCAGGCAGCCTCAGAGAGGAGGCACACTTTAAGCCTGGGATTCATGTCTTTTAAAGGTTTCAACATGGGGCAAAGGGCCGGGGTGGTAGGCTTGACATGTGGTCTCATGATGTCTATCTCTGGTGAGAGACATCATGTCACCATCCATAGTCAGCCCTCTAGATAGTCTGCAAGATAAACTTAACACAAGGAATTTATTGATCCTGTTCTTCTCTAAGATAGTTGTGACTCTCCAGTGGTGGAAACGTGCCATGTAGGACTGCTCGCCCTGCCTTGAGGTAGGGTCAGTTGTTGGCTAGTTACCACAGAACATGTTAGGAGTCTGACCTCCTAACTCTCTGGTTTTTAAAATGGAATCTTAACCTTAAGATGGAGTTCCTCCTGTTCTTACTGTTTGTATCTCAGCATTTTTCATCACAGCAGGAAAAATTAATCATGATGCTTGTCCCATGTCCCTGCCCTGCTCACACCCACGGTGCCCAGTGTGCTTTCCCCCCACCGCTAAGCATCTTTAGGAGAACGTTGTTGAGTCTGTCCCTGCTCTTGTAGCTTCGTGAAGGGTGGTGGTGAAGAAAGGTTTTCCAGCTGTTGCCTGAGCTTACGCATCCCAGTTAAGCAGCACCTTAGGGGCTGGTTCTGCAACATGTATGGGGGACCCACTGTGCACATAGTTGTGCTGTCGGCACCACTGGATCCTAATCCTAATACCATAATAAGGGGAGTCAACCCCACAATAAAAGGAGTTTTATCATGTTGCTGTGTGGGGAGAGGAGGATATCAACTTGGAAGGTTTCGCAGAGCCCATGGCAAGGGAGTTGAACCCCGCAAAAGTCAGTGGGAACAGCAAAAGGGCACAGAGGCTTGCATACAGGCTAGCCAGGATCCATGGCTAACAGACAAGGAGGAGACTTAAAAAATGCATATTGCTAAGTGAGAGAAGCCAGCCTGCAAAAGTTACACTGTATGATTCCAACTATGTGATGTTCTGGAAAGATGAAACTATAGAAACAGTAAAAAGATGAATGGTTGGTTCGGGGCAGTTTAGATAATCAATGGAGCACAGGGCATTTTTTACAGCGGTGAAACTGTTCTGTGTGATTTGGACCCAATAGAATGTACAACACAGAGTGAATTCTAATGTAAAAAACTATGGACTTCAGTTAATAATGTATCAGCAGTGGTTCATCAATCACAACAAAATACCAAATAAATGCAAGATAGTAATAATATGGGAAACTGGTGTGGTAGGGAAGAGGTATGGAGTGCTGCTTTCTGCACAATTTTTTCTATAAACCTAAAACTGCTCTAAAAAGTAAAATCTGTTACACAAATGAAAAAAATATGCCTATGTATGTATGCTCTTGAGACTTTTTTCACCTAGTGTAGCAAGGGCAAAATTCAGCCATGTTTTATGTATTTAGTTCATACATTTCCACTTTTGTATGGTACTCTAGTGTGTGACTATACCACATTTTGTCCTGATTTCTCAGTGATGGGCATTTGGGTTGCTTCCAGGTTTTTACTGTTGTGAACAGTACAGCCATGAACATTTTTGTACGTGTCTCCAGCTATAAATGAGCAACAGCTGTCTTTGGTGTTCTTGGGTTTATGCATAAAATACTGTTGGGTCACAGGCCATTTCAATTTTAAAAGGTAATATCAAATAAGTTTTCAAAGTCAATACATGGATTTGCACTCCTATTTGCATTATGTAGGTCTTATGAATGGTTCCACATTCTTCAATGCTTGTTTTAGTCAGACTTTCTACATTTTTACCAATAGAAGTGTTAGCTCAATGTGGTTTTAATTTTCATTTACCTAATCAATAAGATTGAACATCTCTTCATATTTTATTAGCCATATGTGTCTCTTTTTCTGAAAAATGCCTAACATCTTCTGCCTATTTTTCTATTAGGCTGTATTTGCTTTTCTTGTTGAGTTTAAGGAATTCTTGTATAAATCCTTTCTCGGTTATTTACATGGCAAGTATCTTCTCCCAGTTTGTAACTTGTTTCTCTTTTTAAATGCCTTTAATGAACAAAGTTCTTAATTTTGAAGTAATCAAATCTATTTACTGTATGTGTCCACATGTATGTCTTGTTTAAGAAATATTTCCTTAAGTCTAAATTACAGATGCTAAAAGTAGACCCATAGAGTCTACTAAAACTTTTAGACCTGTTTGACATTTAAGCCACCTGGAGTTAAATTTTGTATACATGTCAATCCAATTTCATGTTTTTCCATATGGATAACCATGATTTTAAACCCCACTTACTGAACAGCACCCCCCCCTTTCCCAACTGGTCTGACATGCTCCCTCTGTCATTGTGCAGTTTGGGTCCTCTAAGAAGAAGACACCAAGATGGAATTAGATGTGCAAGAGGTTCACTGAAGGAAACTCATGTGAAGAATGAAAGGAGGAAGGAACTGGAACAGGCCAGGCTGCGCACAGCACAGACTGGACTCCTGTGGAAAGACAGAAGGAAGGATGGAGGGTTGGCTGACAATCGCCTCACACTTGGTGCTTAGCGGAATCCCATGGGGGCAGAAATGGCCCAGCTCCAGGGCCCCCGCCATCTCAGTCACTGGCTGAAAGCATCCCCAGAGAGAGCATGGTCTCTGCATGAGTGCTGCAGTGGATATCGAGTCGTCTTCTATCCTGGAGAAGATCTGGAGGCTGTCCACTAACTATACTCCTTGAAGCAGGTCCTCCTTGAGTAGGGCACCTTCACGGCCATCAGTGTTACGTGCCAGGTTCCATATATGCACAGGTGTGTTTCTGGGCATGCTATTCTGTTCCATTGGCCAACTTCTCTGCGACTGTGCCAGTATGGAACTGTACCTTCACAGCAAGTTCTAATCCTGCTAAGGTTAGTTTTCTCCTCCTTGCCTTTCTTTAGAACCATCCTGGGTATTCTTGATCCTTTACTCTTCCATTTGTATTCCAAGGTGTTAAGCAGAGGAGTAATATCAGGTCTGTATTGTAGCAGGCTAACTAAAGCGGCTGTGGGGATTATTTATAGGGATGAAAGATTTCAGGCTGAGAGAGCTTCTCAGACATAATTTCAATAGTCCAGGCAAGAGATAGGAGGTAGAGATTGAGTGGATATAGGTGGAAACAATGAGAAAAGACAGAAGATTATGGGTACAAGTAACAGGGAGGCAGAGGGGTAGAATAAAGTCAAAACTGAGATAATTCCCATGTTAATGGCTTGGTTGTCTACACAGACTGTGGGCCTTTCACTGAGTTAGAAATTCAGGAGGAAAAACAAATGTGGGGAAAAGTCAGTTGGATTTTGTATTTGCTGTTGGGCACATAGTTAAAGCTACCCAATGTACAAATGGATATGGAAGTCTGGAGCTGATGTAGAGGCCAGACTGGCTTTGGAAGAAATCTGGAGGTGTAACTGAAGTCTTAGTATGAGAGTATCACCTAGGAAGGGTAAAGAAGATAAGAGGGCTGAGAACATGAGAGGATACTACATAAGGAGAAGTCAGAGGAAGGGGAACTATCTCAAAAGACTGACAAGTACTAATCAAAAGGAAAGGCTACTATCCTTCAGATGGGTACTGTCAAAAACCAAAAGACAGAAACAGAAATCACAAGTGCTGGCAAGGCTGTGGAGAAATTGGAACCCTTGTGCACTGTTGATGAGAAGGTAAAATGGTACAGCTACTGCAGAAAAGAGTATAGTGATTCCTCAAAATTAAAAATAGAATTCACATACAATCCAGCACTCCCATTGCTGGGTGTATATCCACAAATCCACAAGAACTGAAAGCAGGGCCTCAATGAGATACTTTACATGTTCACAACAGCATTATTCACAAGAGCCAAAAGGCAAAAGCAACCCAAGGGTCCATCAATGGATGGGTGGGTAAGCAAAAGGTAGTCCTCACATACAATAGAATATTATTCAGCCTTAGAAAGGAAGAACTTCTGGCAACATGCTACAATATGGAGGAACCTTGAAGACGTAATGCTAAGTGGAATAGGCCAGTCACAAAGGACGAATACTGTGTGATTCCACTTATATAAGGTATGTAGAAGAGTCAAATTCAGAAAGACAGAAGGTAGAATGGTGGCTGCTGTGCGCTGGGGAAGGTGGGAATGGAGAGTTACTGTTTAATAGGAACAGGGTATCAGTGTAGGAAGATGAAAAAGTTCTGGAGATGGATAGTGGTGACGGTTACAGAACCCTGTACTATACTAAAAAATGGTTAAGAGTACTGGTAAAGTTTATGTTACGTGTATTTTACCACAATCATTTAAAAGGCTGTGAGAGATTTCTTCAAGAAGATGAAATGTATTGAAAAGCTCAATTGTTTGATCTCACTGAAAGGAGAGCAAACAACTGCGGGCGAATTGAGGGATGCGCTGATAAAAACATACATAGCCCATTCAACAGAAAAGAAGACATTTACCAACTCCTTAAAAAGCAAGTTGTATAGGAAAGAAAAGTACTTATTTTGTATTATTTGGCTCAGCTGTGCATAGCATTTACATGGTCAGAATAAGAAAAACATTAAATATTGATTTAGCCAAAATCATAATATAACACATATTGGGGGATCAAAGGACAGAAAATGTGTTAGTGCAGGAGACAAGGAGAAAAAGAAATAAATTTTTTTATCTTCCACCATGGAAGTCGACAGATAATACCTAAAATTGAGAAACCAGGAAGGGGCAATACAGTCACAGTATTTAAAGATAGGGAGGTAAACACTAAAACTTCATTTAAGAGTTGGAAGTGGAGAGATTCTAGGGAAAACAAGAAATGAGAGTTTCCGAGAGGAAAATTTCTGGTTTTCCTAAAATCCCTAGAAGAGGAGTTGACTACAAAATGGTATGGGGAGATTTTGGGGTGTGATGGAACTGTTTTATAGCTTGGTTCTTTGACAGTTCCATTGTATGTAAATTATACCTTCATAAACTATTTTAAAAACTGAATAGACATTCATGTAGAGAAAATTATTTTATTAAAAAACAGTATGGTAACAAAGCTGCTTATTGCAATATATTAATGATATGTAGAGATTGACAACAATTTTGCAATATAATAATTATCTTAAAAATGATATGCCTAGTACCAAATGATTTCACTCATTTGTGGAGAAAACAACAAAGCTAAACTGAAGGAACAAAACAGCAGCAGACTCACAGACTCCAAGAAGGGACTAGTGGTTACCAAAGGGAAGGAGTTGGGGAGGGAGAAGGGGAATAAGGGGCATTATAATCAGCACACACAGTATAGGTAGGTCTCAGGGACGGCAGTACAGCACAGAAGACAAGTGCTGACTCTATAGCATCTTACTACGCCAATGGGCAGTGACTGCGACGGGGTGGGGGGGACTTGATAATATGGGTGAATGCTGACGCCACAATGTTGCTCATGTGAAACCTTCATAAGGTTGTATATCAATGATACCTTAATTTTTAAAAAATGGTATGACTATTAAATTTTAGATATCTAGCCTACATAAACTAAATGTTTTGATTTTTTAATTTAAATATTATTATTTAAGAACTTTATAATGAAAATAAAAAAACACCAATAAACTGAGACTGATGAAAACAAAAAAACTATATTGTTACATGCAGCTGTAGTTGATTTTCACTGCTGTATAATATTCCATTGTGTGACCACTGCAATGAATTCATTTTTCTATTGTGCATTTTTATGCTATTATGAATGGTGTTACTATGAATAATAAAGTGTTATTTAATAAAGTATCTTTTTCGTGAAAATCTGCCATTATCCCCATTGCCCACAGGGTAAAATCCAAGAGGACCTATGTGGCTGCATCAGTAGGTTGTCCTGGGTTTTGTATTCTGTCTGGGTTCAGTCAATGGGAAACACTGGCTGGGCTTGCCCAATAAAATACAGGACACCCAGTTTAAATGTGAAGTTCAGATAAACAACAACTTTTCAGCATAAGTTTTTCCCATGTAATCTGGCAACCCTCATACTAGCATGAAAGAGGAAAGAAAGGGTAGTATTTATCCTCTCAACTTCCTGCCTGCTGAGGGCTACAATAGGCTGGCTATGTCCCCAAAATCTTGTCCAGCAACCCTCAATATACAGCTCACCAAGTTCAAGTAATTGGTCCTTGCTCCGTCAGGCCTAAAAGTGGTAGTAAATAGCTCCCAGCTATTATTAGTACTTGGGTACTGTACCAACACCTCCTTGTTGCTGTTACTAAACTCTGCCCACACTTCTGTAAATAGATCCTTGATTCAGTTCTTTTCAATTCCCCACTTTGTATTATCCAGGTCCTGCTGGACATAGATGAGGGTGTTCCTGGCTCCTTGAGACCGATATGCCCAGATCTTTTCTTTCTTGGCATTCCCTCAGCAACTTGTACATACCCTTGCAAGTCCGGGAGAGGCCAGAACGGGGTCCTCTCTCTCAGGCTTGATGTGTCAGATCCAGGTAAGATCCAGACCCTCTGATTCTTTCTCTTCTGTTAGGTGGTCACTATTATCTCCTTTGGGGCAGTAAAACAAAAATGTCCCCAGGAATTCACAGCTTCCTATCTGCTCTGTGCCTGTGGTACAGAAGGGGCTGGGGAGGGTAGGAGGGGAGGGAGGGAGAAGGGGATTAAGGAACATTATAATTAGTACACACAATATAGGTAGGTCACGGGGAGGGCAGTATAGCATGGAGAAGACAAGTAGTGACTCTGTCATCTGAGGCTAAGAGCCCTTAGACTCTGATATCTCAGGAAACCTTTCTTTCTGAGTAAGTCCAGCTCTTGCAGCTGAAGGGTATGGCTTTCAATTCTACTGTGTTAGATAAATGTTTGAAAAATCTACTCAGGGCTCTGTGAACTTCTGTGACAGTCCTGGCCTCTGACACACTCTCCCCTGAAACGATAAACATTACTGTTCTTATGGATGAGGGCTACAACACAATAAGAAAATACCGGGATAGAATAAAACCTCAGTTTATCTCCAAATTTTATCCCACTGCATGGTACCTAGTATAGTGAGTTCAGTGCAATTGTGCTTAAGAAAGACTGCAAAAGAGAGTTAATAGCAATTAAAAGTTATCTTTATTGAACATGTCCTCTGGGCTGAGCACCGTGCAAACAATCCCAGTGTTCCTCCAGCCTGCAGGGCACTGAGTTTTGCTTCAGCTCCCACTGTTCTACCCTGGGCTCTGATGCCCAGGCTGGCAGGAGGCAGCTACAGTCCTCCTTTGTCCACTGGCCAAAAGGGGGCCACTAGAGGGAGTTGGAAGGTGGAAGAGAGAAGGGACTTGTTCCTACCTATTGGCTTGCTGATCTCCCCTTCCACCTGCCTTCTCCGGCAACAGATGGTTCCAATTTCCAACTCCTTCCCACATTCCCTGCGTAGCCAGGTGGCGCCCACTCTTCAGACGACTGAGCCCCGGCTCCATAAGGACCCTCCTCCAAGCCCCAGAGGCAACAGCAGGGGCTGGAAGCCCCCTCCTCTAAACTTGAGACGGATCATCACACCAGTGCCCTGTTGAATCATACCGTCCATGCCCTCATGTGGTGCCTTCCGCCGTGCCCCGGCCAGCCTGGGGGATCTGCTTTGGTCAACGGGACACAAACAGGAAGCAGAGGCTGGATGAGCATTTGTGCTTTGGGGCGCCTTCTCTTGGACTATTGCTGCCATCATATGGGGGAGCCCAGTTCAGCTTCCTTGAGGAGGAAAGAGACAGAGAGAGGCCAACCCACGCAGATGTCCCCGTCTACCTTCCCACGAAGACTGCATCATGAAAGACCCCGGGTGAGACCAGCAGCAGAACTGTCTTTCCAACCCAGAGAATGGTAAGCCTCTAAGCTTTGGGGGGGATTTGTGAAGCAGCAATGGATGACTTGAAGCAGTTCTGATCATCCCTACCTCTTCCCACCACCAAAGGGAAGGTGGCTGCTTCCTGCAGTTAGTATCTGTACCCTTAAAATAACCGTTTTGTGTTTTCAGCCCTCAGGCTTAACATGTTTAGCAGCTTCCCCCCCATTCTGTCTGTTAAATCTGTGATTTCCGTTTTCCTGACCAGTCCCTGACTGATACAATACTATCACATCCATTTTATAGATGAGAAAACTGAGGTTCAGAGAACTTAAGAAATATGCCAAGGGATGCCCTTCTATACTTCATACTCACATTAGTAATCTTCAGCAATATATAACTGTACCATGTAATAAACTGGTTGTTATAAATTATCATGACCATTGAAGTTGGTGTCACTTTAGGACAGGCTCTGCTCAACCCGGGCGGCCTCCAGCTCGTGGGCCAGCAGGGGGAGCTCTGTTCCCAAGGCCCCGGACAGCCGCGGGTGGACCCCACAGGGAAAATGAGCATAACAATTCCTTTCTTGACCAAAAGGTCTGGGCAAGCACTTCATCACAGGAGACGGCAGGCTCCTTGATGGGAAGGGAAAAGAAGCGATGTAACATTTATTAAGCCCTAAGAACTGCGTCAATTTAAATTTTAAAATACTAAACGGGAGCTGCCCTGTTTGAAGTGGATTGTCCTCCAGGAGAAGGAACTCCGGGCCCCTTCCTGTCTTCCTGCCACCCTGCGCCCGATGCCACCCCAAGGTTAAGAGGAGTTTCTCTGCACTGGGACACACTGACCAGCGGACAGAGCTCCTGAGTACGCAGACCTTGGTGCCAGCGGGGCCCTCTTTCTGTGAATGGTGTCCGCAGTAAGAACGCGCACGCCTGCCCCCTCCCCGGGAGCAGGGCGCCTGGCCTTCCTCCCTTCCTCTCCAAGCCCGGCCCCAACTGCACTCGGGTACAGGGGCTTCTTTGCTCTTGCTCTCTGGGAACCTCTTCCTGAGGATGATGGGCCTGTGGGAGACAAACCGTTGCTCCCATCACAGCGGCAAATCTGAGACTCCAATCTGAGCTCCGGGGTAGTAAATACTAGACCTCAGAGCCTAGCAGGCCTCACAGCCCAACCAGCCTGGGCCAAGGGGGCAGCACCAGTCCCGCCCACTGACCTCCCTCCCTGCCCTGCGGTTGGGGGCGAACAATCAACGATCCCTTGGCCTCCCAGCTACCTATCACTGCCTCCTGTTTTGGAACTAGGTCTCGGTAGAAGTGGGCCAAAGGTAGAATTTGGGCATTCCTGACTTCGCCTAGTGAAAATGCCATTTTAAAACATGATGTTGTACAGAACAAAAAGGTTCCTTCAGTATGAGAGAATATATTTGTAAATGACATATCTGGCAAGGGGTTAACATCCAAAATATATAAAGAACTTACACACCTCAACACCCAAAAAGCAAATAACCCAATTAACAAATGGGCAGAGGATATGAAGAGACAGTTCTCCAAAGAAGAAATTCAGATGGCCAACAGACACATGAAAAGATGCTCCACATCACTAATCATCAGGGAAATACAAATTAAAACCACAATGAGATATCACCTCACACCAGTAAGGATGACAAGCATCGAAAAGACAAAGAACAACAAATGCTGGCAACGATGTGGAGAAAGGGGAACCTTCCTACACTGCTGGTGGGAATGTAAGCTAGTGCAACCATTATGGAAAGCAATATGGAGGTTCCTCAAAAAACTAAAAATAGAAATACCATTTGACCCGGGAATCCCACTGCTCGGAATTTACCCAAAGAATACAACTTCTCAGATTCAAAAAGACATATGCACCCCTATGTTTATCACAGCACTATTTACAATAGCCAAGATATGGAAGCAACCTAAGTGTCCATCTGTAGATGAATGGATAAAGAAGATGTGATACATATACGCAATGGAATACTATTTGGCCATAAGAAAGAAACAAATCCTACCATTTGCATCAACACGGATGGAGCTGGAGGACATTATGCTCAGTGAAATAAGCTGGGCAGAGAGAGTCAAATGCCAAATAATTTCCCTCACTTGTGGAGTATAACAATGAAACAAAACTGAAGGAACAAAATAGCAACAGACTCAGACTCCAAGAATGAACTAGTGGTTACCAAAGGGGAGGGGTGTGGGAGGGCGGGTGGGGAGGGAGGGAGAAGGGGGATTGAGGGGTATTATGTTTAGTGCACATGGTGTGGGGGATCACGGGGAGAACAGTGTAGCACAGAGAAGGGACATAGTGGATCTGTGGCATCTTGCTGCACTGATGGACAGTGACTGCATTTAGGGTATGGGTGGGGACTTGATAATATGGGTAAATGTAGTAACCACATTGTTTTTTCATGTGAAACCTTCATAAGAGTGTATATCAATCATACCTTAATAAAAAAATATATATAAAAAAAACATGATGTTATATGTAACCATACTCAAGAATACATACAACATGACATTGCGAAAAATAATAAATTAACTCTAAGGAACCCGCTATCCAACCTAAGAATTAGTACATTACCCGTCCGGTGGGTGTCTAAGTATATGCTCCTCCTCTGGTCCCATCTCCCACCAGAGGTAACTTAAACTAGGCTCGGTGTATGCCTCCATTCCCTTCTTATTTCAAATAAACTTATCACAGTTGTATGTTCTTTAATTACACTGACACTTTTTAAAAACCTCAGACCCTTAATTTGGATTTGTCTTATTGTTTCCTCTCAACTGGATTCAGGCAAAATATTTTTGGTAGGAATCCGGTGCAGGTGATGCTGTGTCCTCGGTGTATCACATCAGAGCTACATGGTGTTGGTTTGTCCCATTATTCCTCAAATTAAGTCTGACGACTTGGTGAAAATAATGTCCACCAGGTTTCTCCACTGGAAAGATATCTTTTCCCCTTTGAAATTAATAAGCCATTTGTGAGGTAATAATTGGAGTCCCCGTAAATATTCACTTCCTCAACATGGTTTTACCAATGGTTTTAGCATCTATTGATGATTGTTGTCTGAATCGGTTAGTACTAATAGTATTTCCAGAATGTTCTGGTAACCTCTTTTTTCACCAATCCTCCTGCTCTCAATATTTGATTTGAAGTAATACACTTTTATCCCCTGTTAATAAGCATTATGCAGTCAAAAAGCTTGTTCTCTTATTTCACCTGTTTAGTGCACTTCTTCTCAGCATTTTGAAGGGACTGCTCCTTTCTGGCTTCTATGGTTGGGGGTGGGAAGCCTCCTGGTAGTCAGTTTTCATTCCTTTGTAAGTCTGACTTTCCTCAAGAAAAGGAAGCCTGGATTTGAAAAAGAAATGAAACTCTAAAAAATGAAAAACATAATTGTTTAAACACAATGGGCAGATTCAACACCACATTTGACACAGATACTGAGAAAAATGAGTGTGTTGGAGATAAATTGGAAGAAATTCCTCAGCATGTGCAAGAAGGAAAAGGGGATGGGACCTATGAAAGAAGTCATGAGGTATGGGCAAAAGAATAAACATCTAACATTAAGTGAAGTCTGGGAGATAACAGAGAGCAAGACTGAGAAGCAATACAGCTAAAAAGAAGTGGCTGTGACTTTTCTAGAATTTGCAAGACATGAATCCTTAGAGGTAGGTATGCTAGTTTGCTAGGGCCGCGTTGACAGTACCACAGACGGGTGGGGCTTTACCAGCAATTTCATCTTCTCACAGTTCTGGAGGCTGGAAGTCCGAGATCACGGTGTCAGTAGGACTGGTTTCCTCTGAGCCTCTCTCCTTGGCTTACACATGTGTTCTCCCTGTGTTTTCACAGGGTCTTCCCTGTGTGTGTGTCTGTGTCCTGATCTCCACTCCTGTAAGACATCAGGGTCCACCCTAAGGACCTCATTTAACTTACTCACCTCTTTAAAGATGTCTCCAAATAGAGTCACCTTCTAAGGAACTGGGGCTTAGGACCTCCACACATGTACTTTTTTGGGGGAGGACACAGCTCAGCCCATACAAACAGGCATCACAATATATACCAGGTATGACGAATAAAAAGAAGTCCACATCCCAACACAATACAGTGAAATTGCTGAATGCCAAAGACAAAGAGAGGGACTTGAAAGCAATCAGGGAAATGCCACACTTTGCTAAACTGTAGAATGGCTGCCATCAGGCATCCTCAAATCCAGCTTTTAAAAGCTGCCAAAGCTCAATCCCTACCTTCTCTCTCCAAGAGCTCTTGCCCTGAGATCTGCCTTCTCTGACCCCTGACTTTCTTTGACCTCTGACCTTGGCACTGATGTGGCCAAGTGCGTGCTGTGGGCTTTCTGTTCACCTGCAGCAGAAGGGTGCTAGGAAATGTCATCAGGTAGAGCCAGGCCTTAAATCTCTCTACACAGACCAGAAAAAACAAAAACTCTTTTGGATTACACCTCCAGTTTGGAAAACATATGTGTACTGGGTAGCCAAAGCTGGTAAATGCGATCTGAGTAGTGTCAGTGTGGGAGATGGCGTCCGTCTGTATTCCTGGCTGGAGAAAGGAAGGTGGCATGGACAGTAGATGGTTTACAGCTTTGCCAGGGGTCCTGAAGGCAGGTGTCTGTGGTGCTGACACAGTCGTCCCTGCCACCAGTGACTCTAGCGCTCACGGTCACCAATGCTGGAGGCCCCAGACATCTGCCTGTGTGTTAGGCCAGTGCCCAGTGGATGACTGGTGAGCAGGCTGAGGGAACCCCCGGAGAATCCCTGGAGCCCGGAGCCTGGAGCAGTCTCCAGCCTACTGGAGGGGATTCACAACTGAGCTGTACAACTGCTGCTGCAGCCGCTGCCTCCCTCGGCCATCTCTTGCATGGGAAACAGCCACCACCTCTCTGCTGGCCTCCTTTTTTTCAATGCATTTTTCATATAACAGTCAAGTGATCTTTTGAAAAAAATCAGAATCAGACTCCATTGCTGTTTTGCCTAAAATCTTCTGTAGCCTCCGCAGCATTGAGAACAAAATCCACTCCTTGCTGCCGTCAATACAAACCTGCAAGATAATGGGCCCCATCGATGGAGCTGCTTCTCTTCCTCTTCTCTATGATCTAGCCGTCTGGGCTTTTCTCAATCCTTGAAACCTATTGAGCTCTCTTCCACCCGCAAGGCCTTTGTCCTTGTTCCCCCTTTTCCCTAGAATGGCCCTTCTCAGCTCATCCAGGAACTGGGCCCTCCTCACATCTCAAATCTCAGCTCCCTTATCTCCTCCCTCACCTCCTATGGAAAGTGGATTCCCTGGGTACTATTTCATCATTGTTTATTTCCTACTTGATGCCAATCATAAGCTCTATTTATTTTGTTTCCTTGCTTGTTTATGTCAGTCTCCCCAAGCAGAATCTAACACGTAGAGACCCTGTCCTATCCTGTTGTCACCTGTGTCTCTAACTCCCAGCACAGTGCCTGGTGCATTCAGTCAGCTTCACATGCCAGATGCTATCCAACCTGGGCCCCTGGGCCTTTAGCAGAATTCTTTACTTATGCTCCAAGGGACCCCAAAGCTCAACAGAACCACCAGAACTGCACCTCTGGCCCAATCCAGTCCAGCTCTCAACCATCTAGTCTACTTTCAAAATTTGAATTGACCCCAGGAACCAAAAGAAGTTGAAATGCAGAGCTAGCAACAGTTTACCTCCATAAATTCGACTCCCTGTTGCTCATGGTATTAAGTCTGGTTTCAGGCACTTCCACTTCAATTAACACTTGGCACACTTCAAAATACCTCTGAACAGCAGGACGCTGATTGAATTCAAGGTGCCAGGAAGCCGAATGGAAAAATAGTAGTAAAACCACTGGTCCTTTTATATTGTAGTTAAAAGCTTGAGCAAACAACTATTACACCTCCTTCAATGTTCTATTCTGTTTCAAATTAATCTGTAATAAGTATGGCAACCACATGGCTTTTAACCTGTCCCATTAGGCACATCCAGTCTGGCCACAGTGCTTTTGATTTGAGGTTCCAGTTTGTCTCTCAGCAGCCTCTTGGTATACAATGTGGGTCAAGTTTATAAAATTTGCAAACGTTTCAAAGGATGAATGAATTATCCAAATGGTTGTTTGCATGTATTTTTTAATATAAAACCTCCAAACAAATTATATATTTTAAATGCTTTCCTTGGGTCATATCAAGCATGGTACTCCCATTCATCTCCAGTTATTTAAAAAGAACAGTGGAAAATCAATATGCATCACTATGGAGACATGCCCAAGATTAAGTGAAAACACAAAGTTGAAGAGCATCAAGTAAAACACCTCTCTGTGTGCATGTTTATGTAAATATATTTTCTTGTGAGCACAGAATGTTTCTGGAAGGAGATCCTGAGTCATCTCTGAAAGTAGAATGGCTATGATGATAAGTGTAACACGTGTCAGGTGCTTGTTCTCTGCCAGGCATTGCAGCAAGCATTTTTCTAATGACTTTATTTAATCTCCATAATGACCCCAAGAGGAAGATATTACTGTTATCTCTCATTTACAGATTAGGAAACTGAGGCCAGGAGAAGTAAACTAAGGTTGTCCTTTGGGGACAACCTACTCTGGTTTCCTAGGCATGTGATTATGGACGAGCTGACCCCACGGCCCACCATGGGTGACACTGATGAAGGCCTCCAAACCGAAGGCAGCCACTGTCCCCCAAGTAACCTAAACAATTCAAGATTAGCCACTGACTGCAACATTTCATTCAGCAGCACCTGTATAAAACCCATTATTATTAAACACTCAACATGATGCCAGACCTTACACGGATACCTCATTTGACACCCACAGCAACCCATGATCTCCTTCTCTCCATTTTAACAACAAAGGATCTGGCACTTTGTGAAATTCAGTAGTTTAAGTCCCAGAACAAACTGCAAGGTTAGGACCTGAACTTGAGTCTGTCTGGCCCCCTGTTAACTCCTGCTCTGGATTCCTGAGGGTAAGTGGGTGGCAGCCAGGTGTCGCAGGTCTCATATATTCATCCCTCCCTTACTAAGCATTCTTCACCCTAATTGTGTAGGACAAGAAAATGAAAAGGTGCAAGGCTCCTGCCTAATGAGCCAGCCTCTGCCTGCTCCCAAGTCTTCCACTCTGGAGGAACGTTGAGCAAAGCAGCATCTGTTGTCAGATAGTCCTGACGCCACCTGCTTAATGGCCTCTGAAATTGCCCTGAATCATTCCTGTCACCTTCAGCTGAGACCTTCCTGGGTTGATTAGTGTGACCTGGAGTTTTCCCCAGGGCTGTGGAGCCTCAGTGTCCATGGACTGGCCGTCCCGCCACCCACCGAGCCCTAATTCTCGTGCTCAAGCCCCATTGCATGATAAAGATGGAAAAGCGAGTGCTTGGCCTCTGCACATCTTACAGGGCTCATCTCGCTCTGAATCGCATGCCCCAGAAATATGGTGTCTTGAAAACAAGCCCCTGCAGCAGTTCCTAAAGAACGTCCTGATGCTAAAAATGATGGTGATGAGCAAAAATGGACCCAGTTAGTCTCCTGCCACTCCCTTCCTCGCACTTGAATACCAGGATGCCTGGAGTCATGCACACACACATGAACATGCACACACACACACACAGACACACACACACATGCACCCTGTATGGACCTTTGGTCTTGACTTGCTCTTCTCCTTGTTGAAATGCCCTTCCCCTCTTTCTTTACACCACTATTACTTACACTTGGAGATTCGTCTGGGATATCACATCCTCAACCCTGAGCTGGGCCAATGCTTCACATCACCAGGGTTTACTGCCTATTACAGAGTTCCTAGCCTGTTACATTGAACTGTGGCTCCCCCTTCGGACTGCAAGGTTTTGAGGAAAGGGCCCAGGCTCGGGTCTCCTGTGGCTGCTCAGTCTCACCTAATGTCCAGCGTGCCGCAGGTGCTCGGGGCAGGTTCGTCGCTCTCGCTTTGCCCAGCCTCCAGGTGGCCTCTTTGTCTCATGGCGAGGTTCCCATTGTGCAGACTCATTACATCAGTCCCAGGGCTTGTAAATTTGCCGCGTATCAGAGGTTCATCTGCAAGAAGCTGGAATTGAAACAGTTTCTAGGATGGAAAAATCACTTCTAAAATTTAATTTCCAAGCTTGCGTGCTGGATCATTCAAGCTGATTACAGGAAACGGTCGGAGTGCTAATGCTCCCTGTGCTGAATCCAGATGGGTGTGTTTACAAAGCTGAGAACCGTTAATCCGGTCTTCTGCCCCGGAAATGCCTGGCATTCACTTTGGAGGAAAGTAGAAAAATAGGGTAGTACAGCCAGCGAGGCTCAATTATATTTTTCTTAGAGAATGTTTTTTCAAAGCAAAGCGGAGAGGAGGTGGTCCGCCAATTCTGACCTGGAGCTATTGGGGGACCTTTGTCATTCTGGAGAGAGTGTGAAACCATTGTTGATTTTAGGAGTCCAGAAGAAGGATTTTGAATAGTCAGTCTTGAGCACCATCACAAGGCTGGTCAAGTGTGGAGAGGGCCTGAATGCTGACAGGTACATGCCAGCAGGAAGGAGCAGAGGTCTGAACGTGTGCTCCTCCAAAGGATATAAATGAGACTGTGTATGTGGTCAAATGACAAGAAGCACAGGTCACACATTTACTGAGCCTTGGCTTCTTGCCAAACGTTATGCTAAAAACTCTATATTCCTTACATCATTTAATCCAATGACTATTTGAGGTAGACACCAATACTGTCCCCTTTCATAGCTGAGGAAACCAAGAGGCAGGGGAGAGCTCCAAAGCAGCAGGCCTCCTGTGTGTCTGCAAACACTTTTGCAACTTTAAACAATTTTTAAAACCCCACTATGGGGGTAATGCCACCAGCCCTGCCCCAGGGCAGCCACTCTGTCCCATGTACTGAGAATTCAAGTTCCTCCACTGGAAGGTCAGCAGGTGTTCCCCTGGCAGAAGTAGGACGGCAGCTGCTCTTTTGCCCCAAGCAAACACTCTTCCACACAGTGCTCACAACAGCGAAGACAACAGGTTCAACAGCTGGAGTGACTTGCCCACCTGGCCCCAGCTCTCTGAGATTCTGTCTTCAGGTTTAAGTGCAGTGAGCAACCAGGGAGAGGAGTAGAGCTTTTTGAAGAGCTGCGGTGGCCCTGGCATGAACATATTTCTGGGCATCCCTTAGCACCTTCCCTCGGATGCTAGGAACACAGCAAGGAGGGGAAGAGTTCCTCTTTGTTGGTCAAGAATGCCCCCTCCTGAGGCTGGCTCCAGAGCGCTGAGCCCTCCCCACACCCAACTCAGTCTTGTGACTCGAGCCCACGGACCCCCTTGCAGATGCTGTTTGCGGAGCTCTCTAATTAGTTAATGAACTATCCGAATGACATTTCTCTAGTCTTTCAACCAGCCCCATCCTCAGGGTGGTAATTGTATTTGAGGTTATTTTAAAACATTATTGTATCCAAATGGAGTTTACATCAGCAGACAGCATGGTTGTAATGCTGCTATCCCTGGTGTTTCTCAGTCGTGCTATAAACTGCCTGGTGAGTCGTGCAAAGATGGCTTCTCCAGCGGCTTCCCTCTCCCCGACCCCAGCAGGGCTTCTGTGCCAGAAAGCACCACACGTCTAAGAGGGGACGTGGTCAAAGTAACTTGTGGCCAGAGTCCAGTTGGCCCTGGTTTAGAACAGACTGTTTTCAGAAGAGGTTCTCCATGAATTTGCTCATCATCTTTAGATGTGAACTAAATTTTCCTTATCTTTATAAGAAAACATTCTGACACTAATCTTAGAGGTCTACCTTCCCTCACCACCTTTTTTGGAAATATTGAGTGATACGGTTAAAAGCATGGGTGTGGCCTTCCAAACATCTAACCTCTATTTATTTGCCTGTAAAATGGGGAATCATCACAGTGAAGTAATGAGAGTAGGTATTTTCAGGCTTACCATGTGTCAGGCACTGTTCCAAGTATTTCACGTGAATTGTCTCCTATGATTCTTCTCAGTAACTCTGTGAGATACTGTTATTAGGTACTGTACCGAGGTACTATTCTGGTCCTCACTTTTCATGTCAGGAAACTGAGTCACAGGAGGGTCAGTAACCTCCAGGATCACTTTCCTGCAAGTAACGGGGGCAGGCTCCAAATTCCGGAGACTTATTCTGGAACCTGCACACTGACTACTTAGCCTCCTTTGCTTTTCTCGCGAGGTTGTGAGCATTCAGGGGGATTCACTGAACAGATAGTGGCTGTGCGCCGGGTGTTAGGGATAAGGACAAAGCTCTGCCCTTGTGGAGATAATATCCTAGCTGGGAGGAATATGCATTTACAGCTTTTAGCGCATCTCAGGACAAGGCTGCACCCTGTCCCAAGTGTTAGTCCCTTAGAACTTTCTGCATAATATTTTGGCTATTTATGTACACATTTTAATGCTCCTACTAGATTATAAATTCCCTGAAGGTAAGATGAATCTCTGCTTCTTTTCTACATTTTTTTCTAAATCCTTATTCATAGTGAATACTTGTTGAATAAGCAAACCTGTTATCCTATATATATGAGAAAGAACTGCAAAAAGTTATCTATCCATGTACTAATTCAAAAGTTTTCTCAATGTAAAGTTAATCTATAGCTGTAAGTATATCTGAGATGTACAGTTACATATCCATGTCAATGCTAAGAGGAACAGATGAGATGTGTATGGAAAGTTCTTTGAAAACTGTAACATACCAAACATAGTAACACATTACTGGTATTTATAGTACAAATAGAGAGAGGGGTTCTTTCTCTTCTTCTATGCCTCCAGTAGAACAGATGATAATCCCAGGGCACAAATGGCCTGAGCATGTGGATGAGAACCCAGCAACCACACAAGGCTGCAGGGAGTAGATGGCAAGTATTTGCACACAAGTCAACAGAAATTTTTATTGTAAAGAAACAAAAAGGACACAAAAGCAAAAATGAACAAGTGTGACTACATCAAACCAAAAACCTTCTGTATGGCAAAGGACAACTTACAGTATGGGAGAATATATTTATAAATGGGGTTAATATCCAAAATATATAAAGAACTCATACAACAAATTCATACAACTCAACACCAAAAAAGCAAATAACCCAATTAAAAAATGCGCAGAGGACCTGAACAGACATTTTTCTAAAGAAATGCAGATGGCCAACAGGCATATGAAAAGATGCTCCACATCACTAATTATCAGGGAAATGCAAATAAAAACACAATGAGATATCACCTCACACCTGTCAGAATGACCACTATTCAAAAGACAAGAAATGACAAATGTTGGCAAGGATGTGGAGAAAAGGGAACCCTCCTACAAGGCTGGTGGGAATGTAAATTGGTGCAACCACTATGGGAAGCAGTATGGAGCTTCCTCAAAAAAACAAAAATAGAAATATCATTTGACCCAGGAATTCCACTCCTAGGAATTTACCCAAAGAAAAAACAAACTCTCTAATTTGAAAAGACATATGCACCCCTATATTTATTGCCACATTATTTACAATAGTCAAGATATGGAAGCAACCAAAGTGTCCATCAATAGATGAATGGATAAAGAAGAGGTGGTACATATACACAATGGAATATTATTCAGCCATAAAAAAGACAGAAATCCTGTCATTTGCAACAACATGGATGGACCTACAGGGTATTATGGTCAGTGAAATAAGCCAGGCAGAAGAGGACAAATACCACATGATTTCACTTACATGTAGAATCTAAAATCAAAACAAAACAAAATGAAGAAAATAGCAATGGACTCATAGACTCTGAGAAGTGACAGCTGGTTACCATGGAGGAGGGGGTGCAGTGGGTGAGTGGGATGGATGAGGGGGATAAAGAGGCACAAAATCTCAATCATAATATGAGTTGGTCCCAGGGATGGAAGTGCAGCATGGAGAATATAATGAATGATTCTGTAACATCTATGTTGACAGATAGTGACTACACTAGTTGGGGTAAGGATTTAATAATGTGTGTAACTGTTGAATCACTGTGTTGCATACTTGAAGCCAATCTAATATTGTATATCAGCTACACTTCAATAAAAAAGGCAATTAGTTATCTACTCCTGCATAACATATTACCAAAATTTAGTGACTTAAAACAACAGAAAACATTTATTATCTCACCGTTTCTGTAGGTCAGGAATTTGGCAGCTTGGCTAGATGGTTTTGGCTCAGTGTCTCATGCATTCAAGATGCCTACCAGTGTGCAGTCATCCAAAGGCTGGACTGGGGCCGGAGGATTCACTTCCCAGGAAGCTCAGTAACAAATTGGGGCTGGTTGTTGGTGAGACGCCTCAGCTCCTCCCCGTATGGGCCTCTCCACAAAGCTGCCCGATTGTTTTCACAATGTGGTGACTGGCTTCCTCCAGCGGGAGTGATTCAAGAGACAAAGGTAGAATCTGCAATGATTTATATTCTCTCGAAGTCACACACCCTCTCTTCCGCAGTCTCTAGTGGTCACGCGAGTCAGCCTGATTCAATGCGGGAGGGGACTATACAGGGCGAGTACCAGAGCGCGATGATCATGGAGGTCATCTTGAAGGCTGGCTACCACAAAGGGCAACAGGGCTCAGAAACCAAGAACAGTGACTGCAGCCCAGCAGGCCTCCTGGAGACATGAACAGAGGGCATCCTGGAGCCAAAGCAGCTCTGGGCACTTTCGTGGCAGGCGTCCCTAAGTCTTCACTCCTGGCCTTTCTCCTTCATCCCCAGGTGACTCAGCCTCACCCCTCCTGTCTTCCGCCAGTTCTTTCCATGTTTCTTACTCCACATTCCTAAAAGCAGAGCTGGTTGGCCCAGTTCATCTTTTCCCCAGGTCATCACAGGTCACATGGCAGCCTGTGGGTTGGATTCTGGGGGTAGCCCATACATTTGGGGGAGTCAAGGTTCACATAGCCCAAAACAGAGACACCTTAGCACAGTGCTGTGGTCAGGACAGTCTCGCTGAGATGAGAGTGGGGGGACAGAGCTCAGGAAGTGCAATCGGCCCAGTGAGCTATTTGTTGTTCACCAGGCCTTGTGCTGGATGGAGAGGCCACAGGTGGGGAGAAAGAAGAGAAATGAAGACAAATAAGTTGACCCCTGGCCTCTTTGTTTAGAGAGGACAGCACCCATACCAAATAATGATGATATGTGTATAAAAGGCTGCCAGCATCTTGAAGGATGAGGTGGACAGAATCAGAT